AGTGGAGCGACCCCTGTATCCCAGTTGGGATCTCTCACGTGTGGGGGTGAAATGGTAGCAGGCCTGGAACATCAAGCTTTCTTCGCCAATGCCAATGCTTTTTGGTGGTTAAACACATAATATATTGTTAATATTTGTTCTGTCCAGGATCCAGGGGTTTTACATGGCATGCACGCTTCGAAGCGGCACTGGTATCTCCCCTGTCATGCATGGTCCTGAGCCGTATCCTTCGCGGGTCTATCAGATTTGGCTTGGCTTGGTGTGAAATCAAGGACAAGCTACAGCCTGGAGGTTGGTTTGGAAGATAAAGCTCCTCCACCATAAAAGCAGAAGTGGCAGCATGCCTTTCACAAAGCCCCTGTCATGTCGGAGTGTTTGATTTGCACCTGGACTGCGCCGACATCATGGCTTCAGCTGCTGCTTACATGAAACAAGAGTGTCATAGATGAGGGGCTAGACAGGGATGAGCGTAGAGTGGCTAGTGTTTTTGTGCTGCGACTGCTAGGGATACAGCGTCAGGTGATCAGTTACCAACAAAAACAGCAAATGGAGTACACAGACGGCAGATGAGGTGACGAACACGACGAACACGACCTTTTGAAGCTGGAACCATCCAGATAAAAGGGGATCGGTTCATGCAACCCAGGTCTGAGACTCCAATGACCCAGGTCTGAGACAGTTAAAGAAAAAAGTTGATGATCTCATATGATCAAATCACGCAAGATCTCTCCATAAAAGGGTGTCATGTTACTTATAGATTTGATTTAGGTTTGTACAGTACAGCCATGTACAGCCGTATGTTTTGAGGCCCCCAAAAGATCCAAACAACTTGAAGATCCCCGCAGACACGGACCACGCTCAAGACCCGGACCGATCCAACGCTTTCACAGACTGTATGATGCGTCGAGAGGATGCACGCGAGCCCTTTCTCGAGGTAGGTGTTGACCATCAGACTTTTTGGAGGTCTTCATCAAAAGTGAGATCAAATCTGAGGTCTCCTCATTCCGTCGCCCCTTTTGAGGGAGACCATGCAATTTAAGTTGCCAATCGTGAGGCAGTTGTCCATGTTTTTGGAACATGCTCCAACTGTGTGTAGATGCCTCAACCCCACGCAGAAGCCCTGAAGGCTTTCATCCCACCCTTCGTGTTGACCAAGACCTAAAGCGGACATTTTCACACGCAGCCACCTGTCTGGTTTGCGACTGACGATCCCCGGATCACCAGACAACAACCAGGGAAAGGAGATGGCGCCATTTGGATTGTTTGCTGATCTTTTTTTGTTCACCAGGAGTTCCCTTCCAACATGTTCAGTTCTGATCGAGATATTTGCAGGTACAGACTCCGGGCGTTGCGATCAGACCGGGCCACGCGAATCCGTGGGTCTTGAGAATCATCGGCCTGCGCATCAGCCAGGAGAGGCGTTCGGTTGAGCGGAGGCCGGAGATTCAGAAGGCTCCACGAGGAAAGCACGACGCTCAAAGTGGCTGACGTGGTTGAAGGATGTTGAAGGAGTCAAAAGAAGTTTTCAATATCGAAGATGTGGCTGTGATCAAAAGGAAAGGACACGCAAGACAGTCAAGACCGAATCAAGACGGTTCCAAGTTCAGCTTGTGAGATCCAGTTGCCTCATCAAAGGACTGGTGTTGTTTGGGCACGTTTGTTGAAGGGGGAGATGTAAGGAACAAAGGCCAGACCCAGTCGACGTGGGAATGTAAACTCATCAACTCGACTGTTCATGGGTAACTCTCGTGTCATAGAGCTCAAGTTGCTTGGGATGTTGCTTGGCTCTTGGACCATTTGAGATTGATGTCTCGGGCCGGGCAGATGGAACTCCATCCTGAGGTTGATCCGATGGGACTCCCTGCGCTCATTCGGTGGGAGCGAAACCTGCTCGCTCCGCAGGTTCTGCACCACCGGGCCATGCTGCTACACCGGTGCCGTGTGCTGTGTCGGGAGCTCCGGTGTCGGATGACCGTGTCGCATCTTTGGCACCGGCAAGGGGTCATAGGGATGGAATGTGCGGTATCGTTATTTGAGGCTCACCAAGCACGCGGGCATACCGCGATTGGAGATGAACATGTGCATTGTTCCACTTACTCTTTCGTATCCAACTTAGCTCAGATCACTGTATTTTTGCATAATTCCGGCAAACACACAAACTAAAGTATTATCCTTTTGCAGGAACCGGTGTTTCTCTTGTATTTTGTACGTTCTTTTTCCGGGAATTTGTTTTGCATTTTTTCTGTTTTTGCTTTTTGCTTCTGCTTTTGCTTTTTGCTTCTGCTTTTGCTTGTTGCTTTTGCTTCTACTTGTGCTTTTTGCTTTTGCTTTTTGCTTCTGCTTTTGCTTTTGCTTCTGCTTTTGCTTTTTGATTCTGCTTTTTCTTTTGCTTCTGCAATTGCTTTTGCTTTTTGCCTTTTGCTCTTGCTTTTGCTTCTGCGTTTGCTTTTTGCGTTTGCTTTTGCGTTCTGCTTTTGCATTATGCTTTTGCTTCTGTTCTTGCCTTTGCTCCTGCTTCTGCTTCGATGTTTCCTGCTGCTTTTCGCGAAAGCTAGCATGCTAGCTGAGTTCTGCTTTGCTTTAGCAATTGGTAGTGGGATGAGCTGTGTGCCTTAAAGCTTGATATATCACACTAACCACCCCCCTCCCCCCCCCCACGGTTCGACTCCCAGCTGCGCCGTGTAGCGGGGGTTGGTTTGAACGTGTGAACGTGGCTGGTTGGGTGTAAACGGTGGCTTGGTGTAAACGGTGCTGCTGCTGCCGCTCTGCTGCTTGCTGCTGCTGTTTGCTGCTGCCGCTGGTTGCCGCTTTTGTAGCTGCTGCTTTGCTACTTGTTGCGGCTTGGTGCTGCTGCTGCTGTTGCTGACGACGCCGCTGCTGCTGCTGCTTGCTGCTTGCTGCTTGCTGCTGCTGCTGCTTGCTGCTTGCTGCCGGTGGTGCTGCTGCTGCTGCTGCGGCTTGGTGCTGCGCTGCTGCTGGGTGGTGCTGCTGGCTGGCTGCTGGTTGGCGGTTGCTGCTGGCTGCTGGCTGCAGGCGGCTGCTTCTGCTGCTGCTGCTGGCTGCTGCTAGCTGCATAGGACTTGTACTTCACCGTTACAAGTTGTTTACCCCTATTTCATCTTATTTCTAACCTAATGCATGCATAAGCGGGTGGTAAATTTACTCCCCAGGCTTGCTATAACCATACACAGGCTATTTCCTCAAGACACTCTATTCCTGATACCTTTTACGTCCTTTTTACCAGTGCTTATCCTACACTACGGACGCCCTAGTGTATGCACAGTCCTTGTGATGCCAGAAATGCTTACTCCTCTTTCCGGCACAAGGCATACATATATAAGCGGCCCAGATTTGCAATAACCATAAGCCGGCTATTTCCTCAAGACACTCTATTCCATATACCTTTTACCCGTGCTTCTCCTACACTACGGACGCCCTAGTGTATGTACAGTCCGTATGATGTCAGACATGCTTACCCCTCAAGGCATACAAAAGCGGAGGGTAAATTTACCCCCCAGATTTGCCGATCACGCATCTTCGTGCCTGCCAACGAGTGCACCCGGGTTGTTCCAATGTACCCTTCCCAGTCAGCGATGTCACATTTACATTCTGTAGCGCAAAGTATGTACATAGCAACCTTCCTCCCAGAACATGTACTCACTACATGCTTTGCCGACTATGTAACTAGTACATCCGGTGCGATTCGGCTAGCTTTCGACCTCCTCCCCCTGGCCTCAAGTGCACTTGCTCTTGCTCCTGCTTTTGCAATTGCAAATAGGCAGCTTGAAGCACTGCAAGTGCTGCTGCGAGTGGCCAGCTGTGTTTACTGCGCTGCTTGCAGTAAAGAGCCTGTGCCGGTGCATTCCTTTGGTGACCTTTTGTGAGCTACTCGAGGGTAACATTTAGAGGAAGTTGCCATTCCAACGGTGCATACCTTTTGTGCACCCGAGGGTAAAATCTAGAGGAGGAAGGTGCTATTCCAACGGTGCATACGTTTTGTGATTCACCCGAGGTTAAAAATTTAGAGGGGGAAGGTGTCATTCCAACGGCGCGGAGCCCGAGGGTAAAATGTAGAGAAGGAAGGTGCCATTCCAACGGTGTGTGAGGCGCCCGAGTATATATTTAGAGGAGTGCCGTTCCTACGGCGCAAACCTTTTGTAAGCCACTTGAGGGTATCATTTAGAAGAGGAAAGTGCCAGTCAAATGGCGGACACGTGAAGGGAAAACTCAGACGAGGAGGAAGGTGACCCGAGGGTTTCATTTAGAGGAGGAAGGTGCAATTCCAACGGCGCATGTCTTTTGTTAACAACTCCAGGGTAAATTTAGAGGAGGAAAGCCGAAGAAGTCTTAAAAGACCCGAAACCGGCAGACAACCGCAAAAAGAGTCTCTATTATAGTTCTTCTCTCCACTTTCCTCACTCCTACTTCTCCTTCGTTAAGTGGGATGCCTTTTCTGCTCCCTCCCTTTGTCACTGCCTCGCTCTCTCCCTCCCGCTGGCTCTGCGGCTTCGTCCCCTGACCTTTCTGCTGCACCGGATGCTTGTAAAGCACTCCCAGAAAGATCGCGAAACAAAATCCTAGAAAAATACAGCAACAATACAGGAAAACAGCAACCCCCTTTTGCACCCTTTGAAGGAAAAGCAATCTCAAATTGGGTGGTATGATAGTATGAACATGTATGATCACTCTTCAAATGTCCACCGTGCCATCTAGTCCGTCATGTGAGCCGTCAATCAACCTGACAGAAAGGTGAAGATGATCAGACCTTTCGAAGCTTTGGGATTTCTGGCAGGTCCTTTTCCTGCTGCCAACCTGCTATGGGGGCCTGCTGGCATGGAGAATCCAGCATTCTGAGGCGGGAAGCTGGGAGTTCAGACAAGAATCCATTTGTTGAAAGCACCCTGAGGCCAGGAAGGAAAAGGCGTGAAGGTGCCACTCTGGCACCTGCACACTTTAGGCCTCTTGGACATCCCAAGTTAAGGGTACTGTATTGTCACTGAATGTGTTGCATTGTGCTATGTTCTGCTCTGCCGCTGGACGGCTGGTACGACTACTTACCTCTCTTCTGCCCCTCAGTGACATCGTTCTCACTTCCACCAGCCCTGTCCGCCATGGGCTCCAAAGTCTCCACGTCGGCTTCGGCGTATCCAGCGTCGCGGCACTTGGCGCTGCTGGGCGATTCCACCATCGACAACGCCGGCTGGGTGCCCCGCGGCGAGCCCTGCGTGACGGACCAGGCCGAAGAAGATGACCCAGATGGGCCAGATGGGGCCGCAGGAGTCGGCAGGTTGGTTGCTTGAAAAAGGTTACATGTCCCCTATATATAACTATGTTGCAGATATAGTTATATATACAAATATATAAATATATATATATATTTATTTATGTGCTACCCCCACAGGCCCCAAGACCCACCTTATATATATATACACATATATATATATGTTTATGTTTTTTAAATGCAAGAGGAACCTCTGTGATCCACTTTCTAGAAAGTATTGGAAAGTAGATTTGCATGGTTTTAAGCCTGAAGCACTTGGAAACATTTCAAAAACTTGAGCAGTTGAAACATTTCAGACATGTTCAAAACATGTCAAAACATTGAAACATTTCAAGCATTTGGAGCATGTCAGTCTTTTCAAGCAACATTTCAGACAATTGAAGCAATTAAATAGTTCACACATTTCAGACATGCCAATCATAAGTTGATTCATTGGAAACATTTAAATTTCTTGAAACATTTCAATCATTTTCAACATTCCGGTGATTTCAAAAAAATAGAACATGCAAACAAATCAGGCATGTGAACATTTCCTAACTTTAGGCATTGAACATTCAGACAGTTTAACCAGTTGAAGCACTTACAGCAATTCAACTGAAACGTTGGGAACATTTTGGCAAATTGAACGGTCTTTGATGTTTGAACCTTGTTGCACAAAGCCTGGCTAATTTTTCCTCAAAAGAGTCACCCGCCGGTAGTACCTTGTTTTGAAGTACGCAGACACTGTTTATTACATTTCGATCTATTTTTGGGCAATTGCTATTCTATCACTTTTCGAACTTGTTAATGAGTTCAATTTACATCGATTTACATTTGACTATTTGTTTTGTTTTGTTTAATGGGTTATTGTTTCCATTTGTTGTTTTAACCTGCTTTTGTTTCTTTGAATGTTTTCTCGAATATGTTTGGTTATAGTTCTATATGTAAAGATGTTTTTTTCTTAGTTTTACTTTTAGTATCCTGTTTGTATTTTGGACTATGTTTGTTTCGTTTTTGAAATATATTTATTCGTTTCGGTCCTATTATCAGTTAGTGTTGTCTATACCTGTCGTTTTTGCGTGTTTAAGCGTAAATGGACCAGTTGCTGCATTCCCCAAACAGTGTGGCAACACTAGTGTCACTAGGGGTTCTTGCGGTAATTGGTTTACTTGGTGGTTAAGGCCGGGTGTCTAATTTTAATTCGGAGGTGCTCACATCCGTGTCGCGCGGCGAAGCCGCTACTATTATACAGTGCATTCATTCACCTCAAGACCTTCGAAGTGCGCTGGTGAGCCCGGCGGCCCGCGCGGAAGCTCCTCGAGACTGCAAGGGAAACCTCGTGTTTCGGTGGTCCAAAGTCGACTTTTCCTGACAGGCGCAGAGATCTGAGCGGTTTTACGTCGAGCGGATTTCGTAGCAAGCGTTGTATACTGGGGGCATGGTGGTCTTCGGCGCGGTCTGATTTCGTGGCAGGTGCGATGTTTGAAATCGGGGGACGTCTCAAGTCTGTTTTGGCATCTTGATGTTAGTTGGACCTGAGCCGCAAGACTCGAAACAATTCAAGATGTCATCACGGGTCTTTGGAACAAGCAGCTTCGTAGCGTTAGGCTGCTGAGCGGCAAGAACATTTTTGGCGTATCACGCATGTTCAAGAAGGCCACAGATTCTTTTAGACGAATGACTCTTACGTCCATCACTGTAGTGGGGCCTGGTGCCGGGAAGTTTCTCAACGTCATCAATTTCAGGGTGTCCGGTTGCCAGCTTGTTCTACCTCAGCAGAAAGCGCAAGCTTCTTCTCCGACGAGTCTTGCGCAACCTACCGGCGGGTCGGCGCCAGCTTGATTTGTTGTTTACCCTAAGTCTGCTGTTTACCTAATGTTACTAAATTAGTAAAACAACAAGAGCTGATGAAATTAAATTGTTTATACCTAAATTTTTGTGTAAATGTAAAATCTGAGGGAACCTACGAAGTTCATCCAAAGTTCTTCAAAAGTTATTCAAAACTTACTTGTGGCCAAGCCATGCTTACTTAAGTATGGGGCTGCTCCTGCTCTTTTTTGGATGAGCCTACAGTGCTCACTACAAAAATCAACATGAAATAGTTTTAAAAGTACTAAATGACAATTTTGTTCTAAGTGACAAACTTATTGACATTTTAACTAAATCAACTTACTTCAATTTTTATGTATTTTTTGTAAGGTAAGTTTGTCTTACAAAAAACTTCAACTTTTATAGAGGGTAAATTTATGTAATCAGCAGACTTGGGGTAAGGTCAAGACGTGCTGCGTGCCAGAAGCAACTTGACAATATGGCTACGACAGTTTTCAGTTCATCAGATGTGAAAGCATCAAGGCATTGCAAACTGTGCCTGTGGGACCAACAGTTGGCGCCCACCATTAAGGTGTGACCACCGACGCGCAGCCCTGCGCTAAAAAGGGTTGCTCTCAGCCGTTGTAGATATTTAGCAAAAACCTTTGCGACGACGTTCTAATTGTCAGAGCATTTGGGGCTTTGCAGTTTTGCACGCGAAAAGCCCAGTAGAAGCGCTGCCTGGCGCCCAGGCTAAGATTGAATCATTGACAACCCTGCGCTGGTCCTCAGTAGTCGCGGTCAGCCAGTACTGAAGTCACGTCTTGAAGACGGGCGGTGCAACCCGAACGCAATGGCAACTAATTACAAACACGATGCTTGGTAGTGAGGACCTTGGTATGAGATGAGTGCTGCTTTCAAGACTATATCGGCTTTGCTCCTAGCTCTTCACAAACATTGGAAGAGACTGACTGCATCAAACTTTGCGCAAGCACACCCACGCATCGACGCATCCTGTCAAAGCGTGACGACTCACAAGTGAGTGGGTCCTCCGACCGGGACAGCTGCTTGTTGATGCTGCGTTGTCCAGCCCCGCTCACGGGCCGATGTGCAGCGTCTCCCAAATCATATCCCCAATGCAGATGTTAAGCGTGCAATCTGAGCACACAGCGCCTATCGTGTGCCGCTATATGATATGTCCAGCAGACATTCTGAAATCCGTTTATCTTCAAACCATACCGCGCTCATAAGAACAACTCCTGAAACAGAAGCGTTGAACGAAAGAACAAACATTCTTGCGGCCAGGAGGTTGGGTTGATGCACTTGCTTGCATTGTGTTGATGGTTTGGTGGTAACTAGCGCAGCAAAGTGACATTGGGAGCAGTCACCAGAATTCAGTCGTGGATCATAGAAAAGCCTGTTGGCTTGGCAGATATCTATATACCCGTATATATATATATATGTACGAGGGACCTCCATGTATAATGTAACGTGCTATTTATTCTAATATATTATCATAATATATATAAAAGGACACTTCAAGTTATATAAAACAAATCATATCGAACAATGAAAACCAATTATTTTGTTTGTTTATATTCTACTTTTGAGACCTACTACAAAATAACAATGAAACAACTACATATGTTTATTGTTTTGCGGTCTTACAAAAAAATAGAAACAAATAAATCCTTCAGGTTTCAAGGTTTCCAGGTATTTAGAAATTCAAAAAAACTAAAAAAATACTAAAAAACAAAAACCAACTAAATATTTAGTTTTTTAAATTGTGCGGCCATCAAGAAATAACATTAAAAAACAATATATTTAGTTTTTAGTTTTGCGGCCTTTTAAGAACAACCAAAAAACTAAAAAAACTAAATATTTAGTTTTTTCGTTTTGCTGCATTTAAAGAAAAGGAACCACTAAAACCACTAAATATTTAGTTTTTTAGTTTTGCGGCCTATTAACACTAAAACCACTAAATATTTAGTTTTTTTAGTTTTGCGGCCTATTAAGAAAGAAAAGAAAAACTAAAAAAACTAGTTTTGCGACCTTCAA